GTACCGAGCACAAAATGATTGCAGACCTCAAGATCACAGAAACAGCTTAAGCTCTTCATTGTCAAGTGATTGAGACGAAATATACTTCCTGTAACTTGACTGACCTTCATAGTGCCTGAGAAAGCTTTTAAATTTCCGGTTGCTTCAAGTTCTACTTGTTTATTTGGAATATTGTCGTCTTCAATGGTCAAAACTTATATTGGGACAGTTTTTCTGAAGGGCGTTCGTCAAATCTTCCAGCGACGAAATGTCGTTACCAGTTGCAACAAGGCTATGCGCGGTCCTTTTGCACGTCGCACCTACTCCATCAGAAGCACCCTTGCTGTGACTGGCCTCTTGGTAATTCCATGTGAAATTTACGAGATTTGGAAAAAAATCTTGCAATATTGTTGCGAATGTATGAAACATAATTTTATTACGGTATTGTGTGACCGGTCCATCACTTAGGAAATGCAAGTTTTCAATTTGTTTAGGAAGGTTGTCGAGTATAAGCTCTAAATGTGCCCAAATTGCTGATGGTGTGTGTGACAAATTTTTTGATAATGTGCAATAACAAGAGCATTTTAACTCACCATCCTTTTGTTTGGTTGTAAACCATCACCGTATGGATGCTGAGTTGCTCTCGATCCTCCAGAATGGAACGACTGCACTTCTTCAGCGTATTTAGTTTGATAATTTTCACTAAAGTCATTGTGAATAATAGCATCTTACTCTGTCAGGGTTTTCTTTTTTGATTTTATAGCCATATATTGATGCACTATATTGAACTCGTGCCGAAGAAATATTTCTATTTTACTTTCCAACTCTGAAATTAAATCTCGAGGGTATATTTTTATTGTGCTTTTTACGCACTTTTTAATTTTTCGCGTCATTTTAGTTTTTGCATCGACATAATCTTGAGGTACAGATTACCACTTTTCATAGAGTAGTGGAATTGAATCATTAAATTCTTTATAGCAAAGTGTGTTGTTTTTACAGGTCTCACGATGTTCCGAAAGACATTTTTCATTATATCTATCGCAACAAATCGTATTTAGAAGACCCACGTGGTTCAATACTTGGTATTATCATTTTTGGTGTAGACAATTCAACATTAAATCGAAGTTTCTGTGCGTTATACACAAGCATGTGTTACGTTTGTCAAAGCGTGGCTGGACAGCCCAAAAAGGACGGAATTTTAATGCTGGATTTCGCTATGAAACGTTCGTATAATTTTGTTAAGGTGTCCAACAAAACTTGCTTCTGTTTTCTTACTCCTTGTTTTGTTACGACGTCTTTTTTTCCGGCGCACACTCTACTATTTGAATCTTCTTCCATGAAATTTTCAATTATTTTTCTCAAAACTGTAGATTTTTTTCTCGTGTCTCGCTTTGGTTCTGTTAATGTTAATTCCGCTTTTATTTTATTTATAGGTTTCAATATATTTTCTTTTCCTAAAACTGTATTTTGTCACTAGTTTTCCACTTATGATTCTATTAAACAATCTTTTCTCTTTTTGAGTTGAAAGATCAACAAAATTTGTTTATAATTGTTGTGAAAGAACTTCTCCACATAACAGTTTTTTCCTGATAACATCTCTCAATTTTGGTGAATTAAATAAGTTGTTTACTTTTGAGTTTGGAGTTACCTCTTTATTTGGTATTTTTGATCTTTTGAATCGTTTTTTGTAACATTGCACCATTAGTTGATGTTTAGCGATTTGAGGTGCCTGTGTCTTTATTAATAAATTTCTTGCTCGCCTTACACGGACTGAAATTGCCGTCCAGCTTGCGCTCGTCGGTTAACATTTTCGTTATGAGGTGAAGAAACCCCATTGTCTGAATTACGTGGGCTTACAGAAGCATTACTAATATCTTGAAGTGTTAAACGTTCTTTTCGCAGTCTTGCCTTTTCTCTCCATAACTTTCTAGCTTGTCGTTTTTCTCTGGGTGTCATTTGGTTAACAGTCTTAATAGTTCCTCTCTCTTTTTCTCTTTCATATTTCTTCTTGTTTTTTTCCTTTTGTTGCGAATAACTTTCTGCCAAACGCTTCTTTTTCGAGACGTTCTTCACAAGTTTGTTGTTTTCGTGGAGCCATAACCTAAAGAAACATGAAAGGCCCTATTTTTATTCGCAGGCGCCACTTTTATCCCACTTCCCACACTGGACTTATGGTCTCTCCCCTGGCGTCTCATGAGGCAGGAGAATACGGCAGGGGAGTGAAATTTTCACCAAAAGCGAATACAATCAAAAGAGTATGTTTTGTTAAGAAAAAACGAAGGAACACGGTAAACTACGCAGAGATTAAAGTAAATACACATCACAAACAAAGTTTTACTTTTAATAACAAAGGATTAAAACTTACCAGCGTAGATACTACATTCATCGATACATCCGCAAATGCCGAGACGAGTGATCGAACTGTCCGCCAATGAGAGCACGCGAGTGGGTCGCGGCTTGTTTGCTGTTAACTTCACATCAAAGCCAGTGCTTTGAGATTTAAATTTTCAAAGACACGTACAGGTCGGACAGAGGAAGCTGGCGGAAATTTTAAAATGGCGTGGATGCGCGGTGGCAAAAGTAGACAGTTTTAGATATAAAAATTACAGCCCTCTTTCTTCAGTATCCCTCTCAGGGGCGTAGATTAAATATTTAAAAGAAGGGATCAATTTGCAAAATTAAATTAAAAAATTAACTTATTCGGTTGGTTTTCTTGTTGTAGATAGTTAAGGTTTATATAAAAAAAGTAGGCGCAATAATTTAGTTTAACGTGATTTATATAAATGTTATGTTAGATAAAGAGCAAAGAATTGATATACAAATAGAGGAACTTAATTCCGATAAGAGCAATGAATGTGAAAACCAACTACAAAACAAACAAAAGCATTGGCTTTACTTTTTCATTCCAAGTCACCACTGAAGATGCCGTCAGCAAAGAAAAGCGAAACGTCTGGAAAAGCAAGACCATGGCCAAAAAGCCCAGAAGAAAACACAGCATGTAATTCATATTAGTTAAAATTCAGTGCTGCTACTTATCGAGTTTATGGTATTAAATAAAACAAAACTGTTACAAACAAACTTTTCTTGATTTAATTTGGGCAAATTTATAAATAATGCTGTTGATATCGACTTCACGGAGTAAATCATGTTCAATATTCATTAAAGTTCCCCGTTTAATTTAGCAGTATTGCCAACTTGTGTGTAGTGCGGTGCGAAACATGATTTTTGGTATGACCAGCAGATAGAAAAATAATATTATAGTTGATCATTTTGATGCAAATATTTTCTTCTTAGTAATTGTGAGTTGTGACTAAATCTAATATATAAATTATACTTTTTTATAGTCAGAAAACGTTGCTGCGAGGGGCCCGCAGCATTTGCTGCTGTTGCTTCGTGGCGAATCCGGCACTGTTAAAATTTAGTATGACATTTCATTTTAAGAATTGCGCATAAAAATTAATTGTACTTTTGAAATATGTTTATTATATCTTCATTACATTTTCAATGTCTCAAAACTTCACTCATTTCCAAACGAACGATATATCACAAACCATAATATACATATTAAAAAAATATTTCTTGCAAACTATGCATTTAGAAGCCTAAACAATTAGGTATGCGCGCATGCATCCAAACACCACAAATAAACTTACCGTATTCTAAAATGAAATATAGTGCAGATTCTTATAACTAAAAGAAATATTTTGATAAAATTTATGTTTGTATTTGGAAAAAGAAACAAGTAGTGGTGAACCGCATTATAATATAAAAAGCATTGCAAAGGATTTGTAAATTAAAAAAAATAAAACGTGTAATTATACAACACGCTACTGAAGTGAAACTTCTTCAAACACACAAACATACCGAGATAGGGGTTAAGGATCCAATACTGGTAGGAAATATACTATGGAATGTCTTTATATACAACAATCATAGCTTTTTTGTAATTAGACAATACTAACCGGCCGGTACCGCCGCAACCGCTAAGACTCTGCATTTTAAGTCTGTAATATCTTCGAAAATATTCATTTAAATTAAATGCTGTAAAGGGCCATTTAAAAGTACTTAATTCGATAAGGATTAATGCTGTATTGCTTAAAATCGCTTCATAAATAAGCCATTATTTCTCGTAAAAAGTAAAGGATAAGACATGGCTATTGTGTGTTATCCTTAAGAGATAGACATATACCTGTACGGACTTTTTTGTAGACCTTTTTAGGGTGTACAATACTGTAATACATTATTTTGATCTATCTCGTAGGGTTCAGCCAGCGTTTGCAATGTAAGGGCAAAAAAATGTATTTATTTACGACATCACAATACAAACTATCAGTGTTTCTCTACTATATTATACATGTATTATACATATAAACCTTCCTCTTGAATTACTCTATCTATTAAAAAAACCGCATTAACATCCGTTGAGTAGTTTTAAAGATCTAAGCATACATAGGGACAGACAGCGGGGGAAATGCGTTGCATAATTTCGTTACATAGCAATTCGCATGAAACGAACTTACCCTACCGTGCGTAAGGAAGTTTCACTTCAAAATGTTTTGCCACAAAAATACTCCGTGCATTTACACTGCACTTAATGCAGTTACTTTTAAAGACAATTATCTAATGATTTGATTCAATGTTATATTCTATTAAACAAAACGCATACATAAAGTATTCTTCGAATCTCATTGAAATTTGTAATAAAGTTATAAAAAAAATTCCACATTCCACGTAAATGACAAGATAAACGATCTACATATATTTTTTATCGTGTCTAAAGATTATGAGTCTGAATTCTTTACAGAAGATTATTAATACTGTTTCGAGAAAAAGGGCGTACTTTTTTTTTTAGTTTAATTAACCGAAGCCGTACAGGCGGTTTGATAACTTTATCATTTCATTGTCTTAAACGGTTCGAAATAAAAATTATCAAATGTAGATTAAGAAAACACAGCTCATTTGAACGTAACGCTCAACCACACTGTAAATGAAATTAGATTAGGACTAATGACAACATTCAGTCGAAGCTACTGATTCTTTATTTAAACTTTACAATTCACCATCACCTTGTCATTTGAGAATAAAGTTAATTTCTTTTAAAAATCTGAGTATGTAATCCTATTTTGTAAATACAACTTAAAGTAATTAACATTTTATACTATAAAATTGTTGTTGTCATTGCGTTTGTCTTCGTAAGTTATATAAATCTCTGTAAGATAAGAAAAGCATTTTAGATGAGGTATTATTTATAAAACGGAACAATCAGAGCCAAAAAAGGGTGAAATACATCTATTTACCACATAAAATTTAGAAGCGTTGGAAATGTAGTATAACAAGCGAATAAACAGGAGGAGAAAAGATGTTACTGTGGAAGTCAACGAGAAATAGGCGAGATAGGTTTGATTTGGTTAGGTTAGATGTTACTATAGACCAGAGCCGGGCAAACTTTAACTTCGTAGGAGCCGCTACCTGAGATTAGTTTGAGTCACTCCATACCCTTCAATGAGTACGAGAGAGTAAGCAGTAATGACCCATATTGCTTTCTCTTTTTCTTCTCCCTTCCACTCCCATATCAAGCCCCTTCATCCCGTAGACGAGCGAAGCCTCTCTCGCAACTTAAATAATACTTACGAAAATTTTCGTTACTACGTTTGCAATACTATTGGCTTTGGCTATGGAAGAGAGGACTCACCGACGAAATGGAAGGGATAAGAAAAGGAAAGAATCATCTCACTCGTACTAGGAGGATCAATGAGGAGCTCCTTGGTTATACCTGAAGAGCTCTCGGAAGTCAAAAGAGCCGAGTTTGCCCGGCTCTGCTATAGACGTCAACGGGAAATAGACGAGATAGGTTGGTTTGGTTAAGTTAGGTTGGTAGGTTAGGTAGGACACCTTCTCAGGCACGAAAGGATTATTACAGAAATATTAAAAGCAGACAAAGGATTTAAGAGAACTAGAGGTAGACCTATATTAGATTACTGGTCACAAATTATTCTAGTTTTAGGGAAATAGGAAGATTTTCTCAGGATAGGAAAAAGTGGAGGTGCGTGTCTAACTAGTCTTAGGACTGGCAACCTTATGATGATGATGATAAAGTTTATTTCACCTGTTTTGGGCCTGATTGCTCCACGTATTATTACTGCAAAGGGAAGAAATGGAATCTAATTATTTGAAGTGTTACGTACTTTAAACTGTTCCATAAACACTGATATCATTATTTTCCTAATATGACACTCGGTCCGGTTTCTAAGTCTGGTTGTACAACTCCTGTTGACAGAAAGATATTTGTTATACTTCATACTTGTTTATACTTTTTACTCCGCCATTTTGTTAAAAAGGGTTTATCGTTTGGTGACACTCGAATTGAGCACAGAGCGTAAGCAGGTAAACAAGTAATTATCGAGGGTTTGTTTGTCAAGAAAGGAATTGAGCACAGGGATCATACAGGTAGCAAATAAAAATACCTATGATAAGAACAACATTAACGTTGTTATGTTGCCAAATATAACTGGTTTATACAAAGAAAAGACAGTTGTAGGTATATGATTACCATATTTATTTGGACTGCCTTTTCTACCTCCAGATGAAGTGGGTAACTATTTTGTTGGTGATTCTATGAGTGACAAGTCCGAAAACAATTGTTGAGTTGAAGCTTTTCTGGATTGTTTTGTTGATACGTATATAGACGACTTTTCAATCTTTCCTCCCAGAATTTGGGCCGAACAGTCTTCTAGTGCCTCTAAAACAACCAACACTTGCGAGGCATTCCATTCGAAATTTAAGAAGGAAAACGTCTCTTCGCACCTCAATATCTGTTCTTTTTTAAAGGTTCTGATTGAAATTCAAACAGACACATAAAAATAAATTCAATCAACCAACTTGAAGAAAAAATTAAGACGAAAAATACTCTTAAAAATCAATTTTATTGATCAAAAAATAAAACAACTAAATGATGGTGAAATATCAAGATACGACTATGTAAAATGTATTTCTTATAAAAATATCGTTAGTTAAGTTAATATTATGTNAGTTCAAAAAAGTTGTAAAAGACGATAGTTTTGTAAAATATTTAATTATTAACACTTAACACTTACTTTATACATATAACAATTATAATTATCTAGGTAGCTCTGAGAATCTCAATTTTAATGTGTGAAAGTTATTGGTTGCGAATGATGATAATGAATGTCTGTTGGTGAATACTTCTGAATGCTTGTTGTTGAATTGATGAATGAATTATTTTTAATGAATGATTTCGACCCTTAAATATACTTATAACTAGTTCCCTAACTGGGCGTAGCGAGCATTGTTTGGGGGTGCAAAAACGGTTTCGCTAGCAACAAGGTTATTACCCTTATCCAGGTACTTCTGTAAATATTTCGGAAAATAAAATTTGGAAACTACACCAATAACTATAAAACGTGACTGACAAAAGATACAAAATTTTACAATAGACGGTACTTCACAAATAAATAAAATTGAATTGAATAGCAGTTGAAACATCATAAACAAAATGCCTTTCTCACGCCGGCTATAGAATTTAAATTTGTACAAAAATTTCTATGAACAATAAAATAATACAATATTTATTGCATGAGATGCAACAATTGTATTAGAAAATTTACTTGTTTACCTACCTAGTGCTTCAAAAAACTCAAATCCCTACAGATATTTTAAAAGAAAGTAATACAATATTTATTGCATGAGATGCAACAATTCCATTAGAAAATTTACTTGTTTACCTACCTAGTGCTTCAAAAAACTCAAATCCCTACAGATATTTTAAAAGAAAGTTGGCAACATGGCTTGTGCTCAATTCGGGTGTTTATATAAACACATGCAGGTAAGAAAATCTTTGTGCTCAATTCAGGCGTCCGTTTGTGCTCAGTTCATGCTTATTAATCGTTTTTGTGCTCAATTCAAGTGCACCGTATCGTTTATTTATTCTTTATTTTACTTTTAGTTGAGCTATTGTCAAAGTTTTTACCGTTTTTTATAAACGTCACAGAATTTGCTTTCTATCTTACCTGGACAGACGTCTTCGCTTTCCAATTCGTAATCTGCAAAAAAAATATTGAGGTACATCAATACAGCATAGTTATAACAAAAAACTGCCTCCGATAACGAATACTTCATTTATAGTTACTTCATAAAGCACTTTAAAATGTATTGGAAATGAAATGATCATTTGGCGAAACATCTTAACAACAAATGTGAATTGGTTTGTGTTCGTTTCACAATTGTATTTCAATTTTTGACGGTCGTTTCAGTTAGTATACCAATTTCAAAAGAGTACTCACATTATAACCTAATCTATAATATAGATTCTGTTCTTAAATACTATTTCTATTTTACAAACAAATGTATAGTACCTTACCTTGTAGAAATATGTTAAAAAAAAAATTTTTTTCAGTCTGAAGATAGTTGAATAAACCGAAACGTAACAAAAAACATAAACTTGTTTCATTATATATAATATGGTCATTAAAAGCTTTTACAAGTGCTTAAAGTTGATGCTTCGTGTAGGACACGTATTTTCAATAGAAATTAAAAAAATATAAAATGGCCTTCGACAAACTTTATGTATCTTACTGCAAAATTGCAAACCTCTGTTCCAAGTATTAAACTCATGATATCTAGAGCCGATTAGCACTCTATGGCGCGTGTACTACTGAATCCCCTTAATGTATCGGCATCTTTTGAGCATGTACTGGTGATAAGTGCCGAGGCAGCTTTTATAAAAGATGTAACCGAGTGGACTAATTTAAAAATTCAAAACAAGAAAAAATCACTAAATTTTTTAAACTCTTGCCTAAGGCAGATTATAATGATAAATTGCGAATTTATCGATACATTTATTTTACTTTGATGCATATTGGTTTTATTTTGGAACCTTAGAACGTATCCCCTATGATTCCATACTAATTACCATTCCATATCCACGGTTTCTGTATTCGCGGAATATTTATGGAACGCATACATAATAAAGAGCTTTTACTGTAACTTAAATACTAAATGCTTCCATATAATATATTTTCTTATCTTAATCATATTCACTCTATTTTGTTTTTTATTTTACTACTCACCGTCTCCTTCGAAACAATTGTATTGGTCCAGTTCACACTCATTTGGGAAAGTTTTTTTATTGCCTTTTCCATTAATACCACAGACAGGTTGGTAGACGTCCAGACAAAGTGGACAATCTTCGTCTTTCTCTAATGATGCTGTTTCACCATAACTCCAGAATTGAGCCAAGAAAACGACTTCAGTAAAATAATGCAAAATTATTGTCATTGCAGTTCTATTAGGTACAAACAACAAAAAGAATAAATAAAGAAATTACTTTACCTAAAAGTAACGCTGCAAGTGTCTTCATACTGTTTCTTGATAAGAGAGGACCTAAAGTTAACAGAATAGTAAAGGTTGGTCTGTTTTATAGGTATTTGCTAATTTAATATATTTTTAAGGCATTATGAATTGATGATATAAAAACCAGAGCTGTCTCGAAGATTAAAAATTAAATGTTTTGAATTTGGCTAATTAAATAGTCCAAATACAAAAAAAAACGGTAANGAACCGGCGTCCTCCCAAATGCTAATCAATGGTGTAAATCTTTAGGCCATGCAGCTCGGTCAGACAGAATGGTCTTAACCTTGAAGGATCGAAGTTTTTACTAGTCGACGACCTGCATTACAAAGAATGTCATAGTGGAATGGTCTAGGACCTTTTAAACATGAATAATGCTAAAAAATAACCCCTCTACAAAATGTTCTTTTAGGTTTATTGTCTTTGAAACACGCTAAGGCGCAAGTATAGTATAATAACTTTTTCTGAAAAAAAAAAATTAAAAGGTTAGGATATGGACTGTGGTAGTTAAACTATTGAAACTGTTCATACCCTTAATTGACGCTATTTTTTTTTTTTAAATATTGTTAGAAGATATCCATTAGTCAACCGTGGAATGAAAAATTATTGTCATGTTTGAAAGGACACGTCTAAGAGGACATTACCATTATTGCAGCAATTTTTCGTTCATGAAAAGTAGGCCAAAGAAAGACAGGTTGATGGAAATCCGATTTGTAAAATTTTCACGTTGAAAAGATATTCTACTCTAACTATTAATTTTTCTATGTCAAACAAGTAAAATACGTGATCCAGTGATTTTTTTTTTGAAACAACTTTACGTATAAGGTTCTTAAATCCATAAAAGATTGATAAGTAATAAAAACAATTCTACATCAGAAACTTATCAGGGAATTAGAAAAGGTTAAATTTTTGTAATTAGAAAGGAACCGTAACAGAAACTCCAAGTTACGTTAATATTTCAGGTTTCTCAATGGAACCTAAATTAGAAATCCATTTGACTGATTTGTTATTAGCGCGATTGTAAATTATCAAGGATATGGTCAAACATACATACAATTTAGACATCTTTTAGAAGTGAGTTAGTTTAATATGAAATATTATTCTGAAAATTCATTTCTGAATTTTTACCCACTACACACTACCTCCAATTAATGAGGGAAAAATTGTTCCTGTTGTCACACCCCCGCCGGGAATCGAACCTGGGACCTTTGGCTTTACGCACCAATGTTCTGACCACTAAACTACTAGAGGTGACAACAGCAACCACGACAAACCGTACTTATTAAATCACAAATCTGTCGAACTAGCTTAGTGGTCAGAGCATTGGTGCGTAAAGCCAAAGGTCCCGGGTTCGATTCCCGGCGGGGGTGTGACAACAACAACAATTTTTCCCTCATTAATTTGAGGTAGTGTGTAGTGAATGTATTCCTTTCTGGCTAACACTAACAGTGAGTATATCTGTTTAGCAACATTATTATGTTTGTCGGTTTAATGTCGGCCGGCTAAAATTATTATTATTATTTATTAACAGAAAATGAAATGTAAATTTTTATTACATATATTGTATACATACTTGCAGAAAATCCTGCAGAATAAATGTCTATTCGCAGGCCCCGTACAAAAAAAACTAAAAATAAAATTCTAAATTATTACTTACAAACTACTTATCACTGTATTTTTTATTTATTTATAGTAATGGAGAACAGCAAGTGTTAATATACACATATAATTTCACTTTCAAAGTATTATAATATAATCGAATACATTCTAATGTGATCCTACAAGGGAAAAAGAGTAAGATTTTTAAAAGTAGATTCGAACCGGAAAACAGAGTGAATCAAAATTAGAATTAGAATACGCGGAAAAGTGAGCCTTAGCAAGAGCAAACATCACAGTGTATCAAAATGACAGAATAGCGTTCTGGAACAGATTTTTAAAAGTTTCTACATTTCTTGTTTGGATACAATGACTAGGAAGTCTGTTCCAGGAGTTAACTATTCTGTGAGTTATAAAAATTATTGCGCGCCACGGTTGATGTGCGCTCCTTGTGAAGCTGCAGATTGTGACAACGTCGAGCCCAGGGTGTCGCTGGGGTTCGATTGAAAAGGTTGACAAGGTCTGGTGAGTCGAGCTCAAGAGTACTGCATCTGTCCGTGTATTCCACGTATCTAAGCCCAGGTACCAACTTAGTAGTACGTCTTTATACGGCTTCGACCAGGGTGATGTCTTTGACGAAATATGGAGCCCAGACCCAACTGGCGTATTCCACAATGGGCCGAACGTACGTGGAGTAATCATCTCTCTGTCAGGTTTAGCAAAATCTCTTCTGAGTAAATACATTGGCGTATTGGCTTTCTTGACAATTGGGGAGATGTGTGATATCCATTTGAGATCCTGGGGCATGGTTACCCTAACGTTCACTTGGGATTCTATGGGTTCCCGGGTGTAGCTGGGGAGAGTGTAACGGCTCCTGGGATTCTTCTAACCCACATGAAGTACTGTACACTTGGCAGCATTTAGGGGCAGAAGCCATGTAGAAGACCACCTTGCAATGTAGCCTAGGTCTTGTTGGATGTCCTGGTAAGCCTTTATGGGATTGTTTTTGTGTCGTCCTCATAACAGTTCCAATTCGAGGTGATACCATCTCCAATATCGCAAGTGTACAATAGAAAGAGGACCGGGCCAAGAACAGATCCCTGTGGTATACCGCTGGATACTGGATAGGGGTCCGAGAAGGTGTCATGAATTCGCACTCTGAAGGTTCTGCTCCGAAGATAATCTTTGATCTAGTTCAACAGAGACTCTTGGATACCCAGATTCTCTAATTTGTGGATCAGGCGCCGGTGAGGTACCTTGTCAAACGCCTTAGCTTAATCCAGGTAAATCACGTCGACTGGATTACCCGAATCCAGTGCTCTTGTCCACTGGTTAAGAATTTACAGTAGGTCGGTCACGGTTGATCGTCGGGGAAGGAAGCCGTGTTGCTAGTCTGGAACTAGTTTCGAGGCGGCGATGTGGTCATGCAGGCATCTCACTATGATTCTTTCCAGAACCTTACCGATGGTGCTGCAGAGGCTGATCGGCCTATAATTGAGGGCATCAGTTTGTCGCCCTTAAAAATCGGTGTCACAATAGCCTCTTTCCAACCCTCAGGAATGCGGGATTCCTCCAGGGACCTTTCAAAAATCTTGTTCAACACCGGAGCCAGTTGGAGGGCACAGTTCTTGAGGAGGCACGGCGGGATGTAGTTTGTTCCAGCGGTCGATTTAACGTCCAGGCGTTGCAGGACCTGGGCGGTTTCAATATCAGTGAAGATAATGTAGTCCAGGATAGCATTGCATCGGTTCTCAAGTGGTGGCAGGGCACCGTCCGATTCAGAGGAGTACGTCGAGGAGAATTCTGAATACCCGTCTAATTTAAACAATTCCAGTAAATAGTTCCTTGGTGAGTGCGTCTGCCGGCATCTTGTCAGTGGCCAGGTACTACAGGTTGATCTCGCCCGTAACTATGGCTTCTCTCACGAAGTGGTGTGGAGCGTGAATGTGTTTGGTTCTCGAGTGATGTACAGGATTCTCTGCTGGTTTCCTCGCTCTTTGGTTATCAATGTGAATGTCAACTGTTGACTGTGAACGAGCGCCAATCTTCTCGCTGAGTCGTTTCAGGTGCATAGCTACCTTGGAAGTCTCGCTGAGTGCCATGTACTCAGACTCCGTTGAACAAAAGGTCACCGTGCGCTGCTTCCTCGACTTCCATGAGGTGAGACTTCCACACATCGTATCCAGTGTAGGACCTCCTGTCGTTGATGCATGCAGCCCAGTGAGCATCCACGAAGCCGGTCCGATTCTTACCTTTTGCACTGAAGGGGATACCCATGTCGGTCGTACCCTTGAGGAACCGTAACACCAGTTTTGCAGCTTGCAGTGACTCTTTCCAAAATAGTTAAACTGGCTCAGGAAACTTGTAGCGTGTGTAATGTGGCGCGTTATGACCGACAAGTACAGCAGAACTCCAATGAATTCTCGATATGGTAGTTTCTCTTCATCTTCTTTGTCCCAAACGTTGTCCCTCGAAAAATTTGCTCCTGTTTCGAACGGTATAGAGACTGACCGACATTCGGACATCCCAAACCGATAAAGTATGTCCAGCATGTACCCTCACTGACTTATGATGATCGTCAATTTTTCCCAAGTGAACTCGGTTCCCAAGCAGTAAGAAACGCCGCCCAAGTAGTTGATCTGGAACGACTTACTCAGGAACTTGTGAACTTGTAGACCTTATCGATCATCTCAGCATTGCGTGACATCACAAACATGTCGACGTAGACAACAATGATAAGCTGGTTTACACCCTCGTTCTTCAAGTAGATGCTTGCGTCTCCGAAAGTTGGCCTCGCAGCAAACTTTTTCAGCTCCTTATTTGAGCGCTTATACTACTATCGTTCAGCCTGTTTTAACCCGTATAGTGCTTTCTTCATACGACAGACTTTATTTCCGGACGATAATTAGGACAACATTTTTGCAGTCTTGTTGACCACTTCTCGGAAACCCAAGGTTTCTTCAGTATAACGTGGCACCTCCATCCAGATTTCCTCGTCGATGACGCCATTTAAGAAAGCGGTGGAGACATCAAACTGCTGTGTGTGCATACTACGTTTCGCTACCAAGGCCATGGCAAGCGGAATCGAGCTGAACCGAGCTACAGTCTCACCGTAGTCCATCCCAGGATATTAAGTAAATCCCTTAGCTACGACTCTGGCCTTCCGCCTGGCGACAGCTCTGTCGGCACCATACTTGTTTCTGAACTCAATCCGACTCCCGACGGTTGAACGTTCCTATGAACGCTCATCCAAGTCCCAAGGGTTGTTCTTCAATATCGAGCAGAACTCATCGGCCATCGCTAACGTCTACTCGTGCCCCTCAGGACCAGAGATTGCCGTGCCGACTTGATTGGAACTTCTGCTACGTCTGGCGAATCATCGACATTCTCTGCCGTGTTATATGGTTTCTTAGGTCTGCAAGGTTTGCCTG